TACCACTAGGTATATACTACACACAACAACACACACACACACATATATATATATATATATATATATATATATATATATATATATATATAAGAGTTGTTTGTCTATGTATGTATGTAAGTATATGAATATATATATATAATTATATATATATATATATATATATGTGTGTGTGTGTGTGTGTGCGTGTTTGTTTGCGTGTGCATGGTATACATGTAATGTTTCTTTGGGCTTTGTAATACAGTTAAGTGGGAAGAAATCGTAGCTATGCGTCCTTACAGGTAGATAGCTTGAGCCGAAATACTCATATGAGAAACCTGCTCAACTTCTATCTGTCCTGTATGTGCGATTGTAAGTTTATATACAGTTGGAAAGTTCAGATGACTAAACATACGTACGTGCCGCCATTCATCGCCACTGAAATGATATTATCACATGTTATCACTATGAGCTGTCCCCCTCCCCCCGCTCGAACGTATTGTGTGAATAAACAATGGTCTGTGGACCAAAATTGTACGTCGAGCTAAGAGTTATATGTTTCGAATATGCCAATTGATTTTTGATGTTGTGAGATAAATAATTTTTGTACAGAAAGTGTCGCAAAATCACGTGAAATTGAGACAAATAGCTGCTTATATTGAAAACAAGTGCTTCAATTAGTTCAACTTGTCGCTTGGAGCGGTACGTTTCTTTTATTATGTCTAATATTTTCGGCGTGATGAATTTTAAAGGGACATCGCGCGTCCCTATGATAAAGTTCAAGCCCTGTAGCATTCACTCCGCGACTGAACAATATCGTTACCAAGCTATCTATATATCACACATGATTCTAACATGGTGAGAGTGAAAACATGTACTAGATCATTGCTTTCAGGCAGCTGAAGATAAACATTGTTGTAGTGAACTTAACATGCCTAGAACTGGTGCACGATGTGTGCTCACGTACCCCTACTGATGCACATGTTCATATCTGCTCAGTAATGCATGGTCAAAGCAACACATCTGCATCCCGTACACCCTATTCAATCCTCCCAATCTAGCCTACTAATGTTAGCGCCTACATGTATCTTGAATGTCAAATTCCCAGGGCTATCTGACACAAGATCGAGCGCGCACAGTCAGAGTCAGGAGAAAAGATGACACCGGATTTCTTACCATCAAGGTAGGTGTCTAGACATGCGATCGTCGCGTTCTGTTCGTTTTACGTAGTAATTGGAGATGCTTGCCTCGACCTTTGCGCCCAACAACGTGTAGGTACTTGTCATTATGAGACTTGTTGCATAACCGGAATTGATCAGGGGGGTGTTTGCCCGCATTGGTCGAATGTGAGGCTCCGTCTAATATCGGGTGGTCCTTTTTACCCCCATTTCAAATGCGATTGAGATTATTAATGTTCAGACCGATATGCTGAGCGACACTTACCTATAAAATATGTACATACGAAAGAGAATAAAACCATCACAATTTAATAGTAGTTAGACAACGAGAACCTCCTTGCTTCTCCGTTCAATAGCCAGATGGTGGAGGGCAAGTAGCGCAGAGATTCATATTCTAACTCTTTCAACATTTGTATCTAACAGGGCATATCAGTAGGTGCCACGCGGTCTGAGTTTGAATACGCCATACCGGCATCAGATGCTGATGACATGTATGTGCACTCATATTGTGTACACGTTGCGAAATATTGTTGGGCTTGACCCGTGTTTCACGTACAAGCAGAAATTGATTGGGGACACAAATTCCAAATACTTTGTTACCAGCCTAAAACGTAGGTCACCTCACAATGAATTTGGGTTCAACACGAAGCGCTATTGCAATTTTGAGTCAGAAAAGGAATAAGATTAACGGCAATGTGCACACTGTTCTCCGCTGTAGATACTTTAAAGTATCCTTAGCTGTCCCCTCGTCACAATGCGATTGGCGTTGTACCGCTAATATCCCTCCTGTGGTCTGCTCGTGCAGGTTGGAAACGCTATGCTTCAGACCGTTTGTGGATAAGGTCAGACACATCTACCCGGATAAGGAGAACAAGTATGTCTCTGCGTCAGTAAAGAATTGCTTGGGGAATTCTCATTGCCAAGTACTTCTCATGGGGGAGGATTTTTTTCAGGTCATTCTTCGCAATGGGTTTGATTGAAGAGGATATTTCAGATATAACCAATAGATACAATACCGCCACTTAAGATCTAGACTATGAAGAATCTTGCCGCTAATGTCGGCCTCATTTTCGAGCTTGTTGTAATGTGTCCTATTCAATTCGAACAGGGTTCGTCATCCCATTCGCATGTGGCACTAGTTTGAACCTTTAAGCGATATATACGATGCGTACACCCTTCTAATGTGCTCATATCCCGTTGTTTGTCCGTATTTGGTAGTGTTGTGTGGGAAATCGACGAGTTCAAGGGCGAAAACTCAGGCTTGATTGTGGCCGAAGTGGAGCTAGAGAGTGAGGATTACAAGCTCACGTTACCTGACTTTGTGGTCAAGGAAGTCACAGGCGATGTTCGGTACTATAACTCGCAACTGTCTGACCATCCGTATTGCAATTGGTCGAACGAGGAAAAGAACGCCGAATGAACCCCGTTTAAAAGCGGTTAAATAAAATTCTTAATATGAAAATTAGGCGATTACAATTGTAAGTGTATTACTGCAAGTATTTCATACGGTTGTAGCTTTTTCCAATATCTGAAAGGTTTAGTACGTCATCCTCATATTATTTCTACTTCTAGAGAGTGTGCCATAATATCTGCACGAACACTTCAACAATTGTACTCAACCGGTATATACCAGTATGGCTAAACCACAAAAGAAAACGACTCATAACTCTTCGAAGAGGCACAACGTGTGACAAGTTCCCATTGAGTTATCTGAATCTTCTCTGCTATCGAACGCTCCTATACCCTCCCACTATCATATATAACACTTGTAAAAACCCTAAACCCATAGTCTTTTAAAAATTATACAAGAGAAGGCTACATATGATGGATTTTTAGTATATATTTTGGATCTAAAACCCTAAAATCTAAAATGGTAAATATTTACCGTCCTGCATAATGCACATCATCATCCTAACTACCACCTATAAGCCAATCAAAAGCGTAGGAATAGCACGGGTACATCATTTGTGGAAACGGAAAATCAATTGCTCAAAATAACGCCACACAAAAAAAAGTACTAATTTGTCCCTATTTATTCATTCACCATTTTTGTCTTTTGACCGTCGCTTCGAAACTTCAAAAGTTCAAATCATAGCCCAGCCAGCACTCTGAAGTCTGAGCCTGTGAGCCGTGGCCGTGAGGCCACTATCAGAAGTCCTCAGTTCGTTCTTCTCCATTTTAGACAACGTTTCAAAAAGCAATCGGGGTTGCTTTAAATTTTTAAACGTCTGTGCTCATTTTTATTAGCCCTGTCGGGATTTAAAGATTCTGGTGGGTGTAATTTTCGAGTGAGCAGTTTAGATTTTTTTACGTTAAAACGTATAACTTTCCGTTCACGTTTAACGTTTACTACATTGGTGCAGAACGCTAATAGTGAGGACTCGGTTCCTGTTCGCATCCAGACTCCCAGACTCCCAGACTCCAGAGATTTCAACTGCAAATTTAAAGCATATAAAGTGTCCGTAGTCTCAAGCTTATGCACTATTCTTTACATCTGGAATAATGTATCACACGTCTACACCCGCCTGTTACTCAATTATAGACTATTATATAGAACACACGATATAATCGTAGTGCTTCAGGTCGTATAGTTAACATCACGGCGGGGCCAAGGCTAAGTGCACATCATATTACTGGTCGTATTCTTATATTACAGGTCGTATAGTTAACCACGGCGGGGCCAAGGCTAAGTGCACATTATATTACGCCGACATTTAGCACTCTAATAGTCACGAGTTGGGACACGTTCTTAATAGCTAAGCGTACTAGATAATGCATGAGCACATATACATCTAACATATAGTCTAACATGGTTGCCCTCGGTAAGTGTCGCTTTGGGGCTGATTGCTGGTATGGCCGGTTTGCATGCAGATACTACCACCCCCTGGATGAGGTTTCTGCAGTCGAATACGTGGACAGCATCGCACTGGATTCCTCTGGTGTTGGACTGGGTATGTAGTTGTAAGCTTGAAAAAATGTTTTGTGTTTGCAAGTTTGGACTGATTTGGCATAGCATGTTGTCTTTTTTCCGTGGCTTATTCCTGTTCTTGTCATAGACTCAATACTTAACATGGAGTCGTGCGTTACGGCTATGTTGGGCGGTGTCTATCCCCTGTCCAGTGAAGAAACAACCACTAAATTGCGGCCGGAAATACTAGTATTTCCAATATTCTACGATGCACGAACATGCGTTTGCGTATGTTTCGTACTCCTTATATATGCTCCTTACCATTATACACGGTCTGTGTTCCTCTTGCCTTGAGCTGAGATCATACGTACGGTGCACATACAATACTTCGTTCCATTCGAATGCCTACACTAACGTTGTCATTCGATCTTGCTTACTGCAGTTGATAGCCAAGTAGAGATAGATGACGGGATCGCTGGTTGTCTGTCAGTCCCATGCGAGCCGCTCAGTCTTAGGGAGTGCGCTATAGCCGCACTGGCTCGAAGATATAGGTAAGTATCTAGAATATAGATTGTTGAGTTGAAATACATATCTATGCGATGACATCTACATACCCGATCCTATGGGTATGTGTCGAGAGTGTGGGCAAGTTTTGTCGGCGGTATCGGTGCCTAGTATTTAAAATATATATCAGTACTGTCCGTAATTATTCTACCAGCTCACTTGCTGTACTGCCAAAGTTCGATACTTATTATCATTGCCTGTTGATCATTCTCACAGCAACCCTGATGCTGCCAAAGGCGTGCACGAGTTGTACATTGATCCGTGTCCACGTAAGGTACACAGCCAGCTGTTGTCGTCCTTCAGCTTGATTCCGTTACTGGAGCTCAAGAAGTCTAAGTCGTAAGTCGTTTTTGTGTTGTCATGTTGTTGGAGGTGGCTCATATAGTCTACTCTGCTAGGTGCCGTTAAAGGCTAGCGCCAGGTCATGAACCATTACGCTGCTAAATCACAGTGCATGCATATATCTAGATCTTTCTGTCAGGTTTGTGTTAAAAGCGCCGCAGGCACATATCCACCCGTACCAACCTCCAGATCTACATATGATTTAGGTCTAGGGTTTGGGACACATCTGCTTCTGTTGTAGCTGTCTGGTATACCGCACCACACGCTCACCTGGTTCCATATTATATCTTCCCGCCGCTGGGTGTTTTGTACATTTCTCTGTAGCTTGAAAAGGTCCATCACACCCAATGTTCTCAAACTGTCGACGGACACCGACGCGTTTAAGTGGGAAACTGTAAAACTGCTGCGAAAAGCAGACTCGGTAAGCTGTTAGAGCAATTGATGTGATATGAATTTCGCAGTAGAACATCTATTGATACCATCAATACCGCTTTTTCTATTTAGTTGGCAGGTTATTATCTATTGATGTTGGTTCACTACAACGTGCATCAAACGCACGAGCTTGATCTGCGGGGTGTATGTAACGGCTTGCTTTGTTCCCTCAGATACTTGTGTAGTATATTTACTTGACCACTGTTGTCTGTTCGCTGCAGAAATTTGATCTGGGTGAGGACGTCGAGTTGTCAGAATACATCGGGTCTGACGAAGATTGGATTCGTTTCCGCTCGGCCGCCTTGAAGTCCGTCGATAGCACGGTATTGGCTGATTGGGGTTTAGTTTCTGCAACGTGCGCACATGTGGTGGTATTGCCGGGGAAGGCTATCTGGTTAGAGATTGTAAGATGTGAAGTTCCGTGGCCGAGTGTTTGTGGCGTAGATGGTACCATTAACTGGAAATTCAAGAATTTGTTGTAGAATTGCAATGAGTTGTGTGAGCTAATGTCTTCATATACTGTATACAGGTGCGGTTCTGGGCTCTTTACAAGAAGCGCTTTCCGTGGATGATGACCTCGGCAGACTGCTCAACACAGAAAGAGTTCTTACACGAAAAAAGTGAGTAGGTTGAATAGTCTAAATTGGCTCACACATTCTGCATACTATTCCTATGTGTTGCGCCTTGTATTGTATTCTGGTGCCTGTCTCAGATATTTGTTCTGAATGTCTGACACCCCCTCAATGCTCTCATGATAAGGACTATTCCTGGAGGAGTTAAGGGTTGAGTCGGGCATCAAAGCCAGCTGGCCTAGCTATCGCACTGCGCGTGGAGGTGAAGCCTTTGGCAAGCATTCCGGTAAGGTAATGAAGTTATGGGAAGCACGCCTCAAGGCTACCACAGAAGTGGCTGCCTGGGTGTGAGCGCTAATAGTGTTAGAGAGATATTCAGTTTGAATAAATGAATTTGCGAATCATTAAAAAAGGCATTTTAGTGGGCTTTCCCATTGTACTCGATGCGCTATGAACAATTCGCCATTATCTGACGATACTGTGTACAGATTACTACTAAACGAATTCATAGTCGAAGTACATCGATTACCAAAAATTAAATAGGGGTTGGTCCGCATTCGGAATGTCCTAGAAACCTTTGCGGATGTAGCCTGGCACAATTTCATGATTTTACAGGACATGAACAACCATTGAATGCGACGGACACTAACCACATGGGAAATCAAAGGTCATATAAAAGAATCATCTTGATTGTACACGAATAGCCTTTGAATGCGGCGAACATTAATTAAGAAGAATTAAAAAATCATATAATTCAGTAAAAAGACTTCTCAGTTAATGAGTCAATCCTAGAATTGATAGACGCATTACTGCTGGTGTTCTAGTCCGAGCATATTTATTTGCCGACAGTCTCTCAATGGTGCCTGCTCTATATGATACTTTCAGAGTATTGTCAACTTCTCTCGAGGATATAAAACTGTACAGTGTGCTTATCCTACTATAGAATTTTTAGATATAGGATACAAATGGACTACCTAAGTAGCTAAGCTCAAGAACCCAAAAGTAGCATGCTACTATGGATCCTTGTGTAGTCCCTTTTACGTACGCACTTCATCAATTGCTTCACAGTATATTCTCGTTTGATTACAGCTGAAGACAACACTGCGATCAAATAAAAGATTGGCTCTGGGCCCACGTAGATCAGTGATCGAATAATTTGCCGACGCTGTGATACCCTCAACATTCACACCCATCTTGATAGCCCCATATCTACCATTCAGATCACCCACTTCACACGCGTACGGATCTGATTCATATAACTCTGGATCGCAGGTGTAGTTGTAACCCTGGTCGGCTGTCCTTTTCAATGCTTCACAGTTCGCCTGCTCAGCTGTACCGGGGCCACATGCCAGTGTTTCATCGTAAACTCCTTCGATTCTGGGTGTTCCTTGGCCATCTTCGCATGCCATATCCATACCTTCCCCTCCTGCGGGTCTTCCATTGTGGACGGCCCAGGTCAGGTTGAATGATCTGCGGTCAGGATTCATGCATTCTTCATACAGACCCGAGTTTATATCCACTATATTAATCACTACACTGACGTTCAAGCCGTCACGTGTATCTTGAAAGGTGATATTACCCACGGCCAATCCATTATCGAGGTTGGCACGTGCAGTTTGGTCAGGTTGTTCTGGTACTGTTGCCTGAGGTACAATTGTGCTGACAGCAATATCAGCAATCGCAATAGCGACCGGGGAAGGGCTCGGGGATGCAAAGGGGTCTTGTCGTGCACAAACTAGGGCAGGGCCGGATAACGCGGTCAAGAACACGAGCGCACTTTGGAGTTTCATAATGTATTGTGAGCGATGTATCTCCGATATGTATTTCAGATGTATGAATATGAGCAATTATTTGATTCTATGCGATCGTGTGAGGTTATAATGCTATGATCCTATGGTGTATATCATTGTGCGATGCAATGTCGGTCTTCTGGTACAGAGAGTTATTAATAACTACAGTAAGCAGGTAAGCTCAAGGGGCATAGACATGCAATCACACATAAATTAACGAGAGATTATGCAGCAATATGGATACGAACGAGTGGATTTGCGAAATCCAATCAAAATTAATTATAGAATGCACTTTCTTGTGTTTTGTTTGAAATTCCTCATGATAGCATTTCTATTTAGTATTTTGGAACGAAAATATCAGTCATCAAAAAATGCGTTTAAGTCTCATCCTTGCTGTGCCTAAATTTATACATAGCCTCCCAAAATGATTACATAAAAATTTGGTCATCTACTACAGCTTATACCAAAAACTGTGTTCAATTTAGAAGGCTATCAAAACTGGTACCTAAGCTCCAAAAAATGTGGCGATTTCACCTAATTTTGAAGCATGTTTGGCTTTATAAGTTTTTTAGGAGGCTATGAATAAACCCGAAAATGAAACCTTAAAATACCCTAATTACTCATACCCCTAGAGATTTTAAACCTTATATGTACCCTAAATTTGACGAATCATATAAAAGAAGCCTTTGACCTTGCTCATCTTCCTCAATTGCTCTCTCTCTCGCTTTTCTCCTCTACTCTCTCTCTCTCTAGTCTACTAAATACTATTACTATAGAGAGAGTGAGTTGTGTGAACTCAGAACTGATCTCGAGGTGGATGAATCGTGGTGCATATATTTGTAAACATTTATTTTCATAGACTTCTATGGAGAGAGAGTCAAGAAAATATATATCTCATTCGAAGATAGTTGTAGTATCAAGCATCTGAAATAGCACAGATAAGGGTAGCGTTAGTTGTTATAGTAGATACTAGGGTTTTATAACAAACATGTCTAGGGCAAAGCGCGTACTATCAATTCAATCACATGTTGTATCTGGCTACGTGGGGAACAAAGCCGCCACTTTCCCCTTACAGGTATATTTCTAACGAAAAGAGGATGGTGTATTTGTATTACATTCCTTGTTATGTGCAGTCGCACTCTACGTTCAAACGTTTACATATCGATTGTGGCCTGGTATTCAACATGAGAAGTTCCTGGTTTTATTCTGCAGTTATTGGGATATGAGACGGATTGTGTTAACAGCGTAAACTTCTCCAACCACACTGGATATCAAAGTTGGAAAGGCACTGCTATGAACGGCAATGAGCTTTCGGACCTTATCGAAGGGTTGACAAAAAACGACTTGGGTGCCTATGATTTCCTACTCACCGGTAAGTTGGTGGTAGTTGTGTTTCGTTCATGTGTACTCTGGAAGCCCGGGCATGGGTGGTCCAAAACCATCTCACTTACATTTGATGTCATAATAAACCTGTTTAAATCTGATATCGAT